CCTCCGACAACATCATTTTTAACAGCACTGCACAATGTGGCCCTTCCAATCCAAAAGTCTTTCGTTTCGTCTAAACCTGTCCATCTGTAGACCAACGATTGTTTCATCACGTACTGTTTCATCACGTCCACAAGACGGTCAAAAATTTTCTTCGGGAAATGAATATTTGTTGTTCCGCTATCCACAATCGTTTTATCAAAGTTGATCTGAAAGAGATGGAAGAAAATGCCACATTTCAGTCGTGCGTTTGCATGTACCAACACATAACAGCCCTCACGCCAATATATCGTCTGCCTCGGATTAACAGGATCAATCGGATCACACAGAAGCGAGTGATGAGAAAGAGAGAGTAGAGAATTAAATTTATCATACATAGAGAACGAGAAACTTCAAGCCTCGGAATCGCTGCACAGCAGTTGCATACCAATTGGGGCGCATCAGCTGAACCTATCCTACAAGCTTGTTGTAGCTCAAACCCGAAAATGTTGGCCTGCGAGTTCAAAACGGTGTAACCCTACCTGAGCTGACTAAAGCAACTAGTTATAAGGTAGCACTACATGATAAAGTACCCATTAATCTATATCAGTTCACTATGGTGACGGAAATCGAATCATTTCGAGAGCATCGTTCAAGTCCACTTTAACTGAGCAACAGTATTCTCCAGGCTTTTGTATGTCGCATGTGACACGTTGCTTAATGAATTCCTTTTTGACACGACATTTTAATACATACACGGGGTGACAAAAAATAATACTGGAACCCAAATAATATTGAAATAAATCCTGATCTAATTCTCAACTACTCGTGAGTAGTAGGGTGGAATGTGATATTTATTAGATAGATAACCCTTCAGCATTTCCACTTCGTGTTCCGTCCCCAATTGAGTCGTACGCCTTTGGGAAGTGCTAGACTCGAGTTTCGTTCTGGTTGGATTGAAATTGTATTACGGATCTGCCGGCCTTTCAGGAACTTACGCTCCGGTGCACTCTCTGGCAAGAATACACAAATCAAGTTAAACCGGGGGCTGAACAGAATAACAGAGTCAAGTCTATCCAGCTGTCAGCCTCAGTGGCTGCCAATCTGCTGTACATGAGTTTATAGAACCTTACATTACCCAGTTAAATCCAAGGCACAGTGAACTGTAAAACAGGTCACGTTCGTCCAGATAGATTCCACGAGTAGAAGTATAATAGTAGTAGTTGTTGTAGCAGTAGTAGTAGTAGTAGTAGTAGTGGCTGTTGTTGTTGTTGTTTTTATTGTTGTAGTGATGGAGGTTATTAGGACCGAATTCCAACCGCGACGCTATGCATAGTAATTTAGGGCCCGTAACCCAACACAAAAATCAGAACACACAAGACAGCGTGCGGATCGGAATCGGGTTAACGATTTAATGAACGATTGTGAGAGTACATCAATCCATTAACTGATGACCGACAATTAGATCAAGCTGGCTCATGGACAAAACGGTTTGGAGGAGTATTAGTCAGTGTCTGTCATG